TCACACTAAGTTCCCAATGGGAAGGCAGAATCCAGACTTTCTGAAGTGATATCTTTCTGAAGTGTTCATAAACACACAAACTCTGAAGTACAATTGTAAAACTGTAGGTGTCCCCAAACATAATAATCACTTCAACTTTAAACCAGGTTTGGAAAACCAGAAGCAATCTGAACACCACATTAACAGAATCTTCAGATTTCAACATTTCAGTGAAGGCCAGGCAGATCTCCTTCTCCTTAAGCATTGGCATCAGAGATGAGATGAAACGTTCTCCATTATCAGTTTCAGAGGCTACAAGGCCAACCCAGTTCCACTGGAAATACACCAGAAGCTGGACCAAACCCATATACTGAGGGAATTCCTTGGGATTAATCCGGAAGAAAGAAGGATAAACTGCTCTGTTGCTCAGTGGGACCTCAAAGCCAACACCAAGCTGGAGAAAGTGAGATTTTTCTTTCAAAATTTTAGGAGTCCTCATTGCGTGATTGATTGTCCCACCAGTCAGGCTGACTCACTTTGTTTGACAAGCTTAAACTTCTTCCCTTCTTGGGAAGAGCCACCAATTAACATATTTTGGCTGGTTGTGACAGGTCGGAAGCCAAGAGAAGAAACTATCTGCCTCATATAAAGAGTAAACTGTGTAAACTGTGGTTACTTCTTCTTTTAAGAATACATTAGTAAGGAATTCCTCTTGGCAAGTACAGCATTCAGAAATATTACATTATCTATCTCTTTGGGGTTATATAAAATAATCTTGATAGATAAATTATAAAAATGAATTAAACGATTACATGGATCCTCTATTTCCAATATGGCTGATCTGTCCCCCAAACCACCTTTGGTGTCTGCGTGTGCTTATGTTATTTGTCTAGTATTGATAGCATCCAGTAGAGACCCCTTACCTGTGGGATCTTGAAGATGCTGAAGATGGAGGCCATCTGCCTTGAGGATGTAGGGTTGTCACCTCCAATGACAGAGAGCAGAGGGTCCTTTCTGTCACATTTGTAACCTGGAACCATTCGGCCTCGTGTGGAGAGCAGGGAGAGGCTGGCTAAAGAGATCCTCTCCTCAATCCGATGATTGTCATAGATGTGTAATCCAAGTGTGATGTTCGGAAGGAGAACCTGATCCTTGTTGACCTCTCTGACTGCAAATACCAAAGACAGGGACTGTTGGTAGTTTCTTGGAATAATGCTACAGTGAGAAAAAATATTGAGGAAAATTACAAGAAAGCTTATGCATGCTGGTGGAGTTGTCCTTGATTATTTTTGGTTTTCTTTAGATAGCAACTTCCAAGTTTGGCTACAGTGACTTTAATCTTTCCCAACTACCAAGTGATGAAAGGAGGGTGTGATGGAGGTGGTCTGTGATATGGACAGACAGGTTTTCTCCTTTCTCACAAAGCCATCCAAGTTTAATCAAGGAACATCCTTTTAAAAAAAACACAAACCCAATGAAAAGCACAGAGATTTCAACTAACTAGGTAGGACATTGGGCAAACATTAGTAAAATAAGTATTCCTGAGAGGGGTCTCTAAATCTCACACAAAGCAAAAAAATAAAAATAAAAATCTATATACTGTATTTCTCCTTCACATGAAACTTACTAAACTGTGAAATGACGCCATGGGCCCTTTTGAAAGTCTGGAATATTGGAGTCCGTAAAGCTGGCCAGGAGGATATTCCCACCAATAATGAAATCACCAGGGCTATAGTATTCTTCCTGACAATGGAAATAATGGCTCAACAGACCTATGGTTTCCATCCTCTTTGCAGAAGTTGGAGGAAGGAGCCAGAAGTGCAGCAGGAGGAGAGGGAGACTAGTCCTTCTTGTCATCTTCCCTCCTAAATCAGAAATCAAAATTGTGGAGAAGGTGAATTGCAGGTAGGATTTCAAATCTCAGCAGAGCTTTGGTGACATAGACTGTGCCACCTGGATGCCTTGGGGCAAATTTAGATCAACTGTGTTTCTTCTTACTTGTGTTGAACTGAGAGAAAACTAAGGCTAGCTGAGTCACAAAACCCAAGGGTTTCCTCTTTGCAAGATAAGGTAAGATGACATGCCCTGCCCCCACCTGGAGAACTCAGAACATATTTTTAAAGCACTTTTTATCTTGGAAGATTTTCTGGTAAAATCCACAAGGGATACATTAATTATTGCATCCACAGAGTATCATCCAGCAGCCTTATTCAAGGTTTACCAATCCCTCCATAGGAAGAAGGGCTTGGACAATTATCTCTAAGTCTGCACAGAGGAATTTGTGGAATACCTGATGGATAAAATTGCTCATATTGTTTCTCAGTTGGAGATCAAGCATGGAGCAGGTCTATTAGAGATGCCCGGGAAATGGACTTGCTAGAATAGAATAGAATAGAATAGAATAGAATAGAATAGAATAGAATAGAACAGAACAGAATAGAATAGAATAGAATAGAATAGAGCTGAAAGGGACCTTGGAGGTTGTCTAGTCCAGCCTCCTGCTGAAGCAGGAGAACCTATACCACCTCAGACAAGTGACTGTCCAGTCTCTTCTTAAAAATCTCCAGTGATGGAGCACTCACAACTTCTGGTGGCAAGCTATTCCACTGGTTAATTGTCCTCACTGTTAGGAAGTTTCTCCTTAATTCCAGGTTGTTTCTCTCCTTGGTTGTTTTCCATCCGTTGCTTCTTGTCCTTGCCCTCCCTCTTCTTTGTGGCAAACCCTGAGATATTGGAACACTTTGATCAAGTTTGATCAAGTTGGACCCAAAGAAGTGGATAGCGGCCACAGGGCTGTCAGCCTAACTACTTGCTTATCAGATCTGTGTCCCTCCTGGTTAGTGAAAATGGTGAGGCATGGTGACTCCATAGTGGTTTGAAGCAGTGGTCAATCCATCAAGGCACAAGGGGGTATTCCTGGCATCCTTTAAGGAGCCCTTGGTCCACTCTGTCCTTAAGAAACCATCCATTGACCCCATCTCTGGACAATCTCCATCCAGTTGCCCACCTCCACTTTTCAGCAAAGTTGGTTGCAACTTCAAAGCATCCTGGATTAAATGGATTATCTGGACCCCTTTCAGCCAGGTTTCAGCTCCAGTTATTAATCAAATTGTCAATGATTTCTGGTAAGAGTGTGATGGGGATAGTGCGTCCATCCTTCTTCCTTGACCTTTCAGTGGTTTTTGATGGCATTGACCCCATTGAAGGAGACAGTCTGGCAAAAGTAATGACAGGTGTGACTAATCAGAGCCGCCCTGTAAATAGGCACAAGTAGATAATTTTTTGTTGATTATCCATATTACAAGAATCTCATCAGACTTTCTATCTTTCTTCCTCTGAACTGAGTCCATGCTGAAAAGACTTTTTACTCCTTTAGAGGTGCTCCCTCCCCCTCAGCAGGTGATTCCACCATATTGTGCTTGGCTGGGTTCAAGCTCCCCTGTGGTTACCAAAGAGATGATATTTGTTATGTGCAAACTATGCCATTTCATACTTTCCAGCATAGGCCTTAGGAGGTGCCTGTGCAAATTGGTAATTAAATAAAGCAGGAAAAATCATTCATTCATTCGCTCACTCACTCACTCACTCACTCACTCACTCACTCACTCATTCATTCATTCATTCAATATCTATATTGAATCAACTCACCAAAGCAACATTTATAGCCCATGATAGGCATTATTTAATGGACATGTTCCTCCTTTTCTGTCATCATGTTTTTAAAATGTCATCAGATACTAAACATGCTGCAAAGATAAATATGAATGTTTCCCATGCCTATATGTTAGACCTTTTTTTCTTCCTTATCATATTTTCTCTGCAATTACTGTAAGATGTGGTCTCAATAGGATAATGTAACATTTTGGAGAAAAGATTCAAGACAAGAGACCAGCCCCAGAGGCCAAGATGGAGAAGATCTCCATGTCCACCATGGATTTCCCTTTGATGCTCAGATAAGCAGGGAGGAAGGTAATCCAAATATTGCAAAAGACCAGCATGCTAAAAGTAATGAAATTGGCTTCATTAAAGCTATCAGGTAATTTCCTAGCCAAAAAGGCTACAGTGATACTGACAATGGCAAGAGAATCAAGATAGGCAAGGACAGTGTAAAACATTGAAGCTGAGCCTTCATTACATTCCAAATGGCTTCTCTTACTAAGGAGTAGAAACCCAAGTCCAGAAATGGGGGAGAGGTTACCAAATCAGGTGGAAAGAAGAAAAGCCATGTTCCAAGATAAGGAGAAAATCTGGGGAATGTCAGGCCTGAGTAACCAGAACCACTCTGATTAGACTCAAGTAGACACTTTATTGCTGATCATCCATATTAAAAGAATCTGGCCAAACTGTCTCCCTTTTTTTTTAGAAACAGCAGATGTAGACCTAAGGGTTTGAATGCGGACGTTCCTCCTTCAAACTGACTCAACATTGGAATGTATTTTAACTCCCCCTAGAGATGCCTCCTCTCCTTCAGTCAGTGATTCATCATATCAAGCTTGTCTATGTTCCAATTCCCTTGTAGTTTCCAAAGAGATGGCATTTATTGTGTGGAAACTGTCTACAGTATTCATACTTTCCACCACATGCCTCAGAAGATCCGTGAGCAATTGGGAGTTTAACCACATTTCATGCAGTTCCAGTTGTCCAAAATTACACTTATCACAAGCCCAAGCCAGTGCCCAGAAGTCGGTACCCCACTGAGGGCTCCCAACTTCATGATTACCATATAGGACTGTTAAATGTCAAATATTTATTTATGTTATTTCCATAATTGGGCGCCAGCTTTTGCAGCCTGTGCCTTTCTTTAATATATAAAAAAATCTGGGTTATATAATTGCAAAATGTCTATATAAGACTTCAAACACTACAACTCTCTTAAATGAGCAGCAGGAACATCCAAGGACAGCAATCAATCAGTCACATCACTTCTTATCCAGTCTTCTCCCATTCATTATTTATTAGAAGTCAGATCACATACAAAAATGTCCAAAAGTAAAAATAGAAGCTCTCAATCCCCACATAAATTAGAGATTCTTCTGCCTCATTATATTTTCTCTATGATTCAGATCGGGCCTCAGTAGAATAATGAAGCATTTGGGGAAGAAAATACAAGCCAAGAGACCAGCTCCAGAGGCCAAGATGGAGAAGATCTCCACAGCCACCATGAATTTCCCTTTGGTGCTCAGATAGGTGGGGAGGAAGGTGATCCAAACGCTGCAAAAGATCAGCATGCTAAAAGTAATGAACTTGGCTTCATTAAAGCTGTTGGGCAATTTCCTAGCCAGAAAGGCTACCATGAAACTGATGAGGGCCAGGAAACCCAGGTAGGTGAGGACAGTGTAAAACTTTGAAGCTGAACCTTCATTACATTCCAAGATGATCTCTCCTATCAAGGAGTGGAAGTCCATGTTAGGAAATGGGGGAGAGGTTAGAAGCCAGGTGGCACAAAGAACAGCTTGGACCAGGGGACAGGCAATAACAATGGAGTTGGTCAGTGGTTTTCCTAAGAGTTTCCTTGTCCTGTTCCCTGGCTTTGTGGCCATGAAGGCCAGAACCACCATGACAGTTTTTGCCAAGACAGAAGAAACTGCAAGGGAAAAGAGAACAGCAAAGGCAGTTTGTCGGAAGAGACAGGTGAGTTTCCTAGGTTGACCAATGAAGAGGAAGGAGCAAAGGAAGCAGAGCAGGAGGGAGACCAGGAGGATGTAGGTGAGATCTTGGTTGTTGGCCTTGACGATCGGTGTGTCACGATGCTTAAGGAAAATTACCAGGACTCCAGATGTGATCACACAGAGAAAAAGAGTAAGAAAAACTAAAGCGTATCCCAGGGTGTCGTGATAGGAAAGAAAGTGGATCTTCTTGGCAATACAGTGGTCCTTGTCCTTGTTAGGGAATTGGTCTTCTGGACACAGGTCACAGCGAACTGCATCTGAAATCAAGAGTCTTTGTCTAAGCCTTTGAGCTGAACCTGCCAAGGTCCCTTCCAGTTCTATTCTGTTTTAAATTTTATTTTATTACTATTTTATTTTATTATTTCATTAATATTTTATTTTATTACTATTTTATTTTTCATTTCATTTTATTATTTCATTTCATTTTATTTTCCATATTTGTACAGCTACCCATCTCATAAGAGAATTATTCTGGGTGGAGTACAGCACTCTATTAAAAAATAAATAAATAAATAAAAACACTTGATAATGATCGTTGTTATTAAAAAATATTTTAAAAAATGTGCACATGAAACAAGAGATCACAATGTTAGCTGCAGTATGGGAACCATCACAGGTCTTCAGGAATGTGATAGTCATAGTTTCTTTCTCCCAGGAAGATCTAGAGTGGAAGGAGGTTCCACAGGTTTGTCCTACCTGTATGATTAGAAATGGTCCCTTCTGGACAAGGATCACATTGGTAGCAGCAAACTTGCTTGCCCTCTGGGACACGTCTCCTCTCTCCTGCATGGCACCTTTTCAGGCCACACCTGGCAAAGGGCACCTTCTAATATAGAAAAGAGAAAGATATGAGAGGGCCTAAGCAATAATTAAGCTATTCCACTGGTTTCTTCATATGTTTTTGTCTCCAGGCCCCTAATTATCTTGTTTCAAGCAGTCCTTCCCAATCCCAATGCTTCATGGATTTGGTTCTATTTTTTAATTATTTAATTGACAATTTAATTTTATAGCTATTTTAATTCTAATTCATTTTTTAAATTTACCATTTTATCATTTGTAAACTACCCAGAGTTGCCTTATTGGTGAGATGGCTGACATACCAGTTTAATAAATATATACAACGGACCTACCAAAAACAAAATCTCAAATATGTTACATTTAAAGCAGATTTTTAATGAAAATATCTATTCCAGTAGATCTCTTCTCCAATCAGAAGTTCTGCATCCCAGGGAGAGAATGAATATTTCCCTGAAATTACATTTCCTTCCAGCTCACCTTTGTGACCCAGATGATTGCATTAGAGTTAATGGTGAAATCCTGGCCTGGAGGAGCCCCTGAATTTATCTGCCCAACTTTCACTGGGATAAAAGATTGATTGGGGAGGAAAACCCAGTTGAGAAGATCATAACGAGCAGATCCCAGTCCATTTTCTGAGAAGGAGACTTCCTCTCCAGCACCATTGTTGAAGTGGACATTCTTCAAATAGAGAAGCATCTGAAAGAAAAGAGACATTCAGAAATTGGTGGTAATTGGCTGAAAGCCACAAATGAGATATCATGGCTTCTGTCATTGTGTGATGGCCATCATCTTAGGAGACAAGTATATGTCTGAGAAGCTAGAGGAGACTCCTTGGTGGAGAACTAAGCAGTCAGGAGGAACATTAAATATTTGACTCCTTTTCCATCATGTCCAAAGATTCTCTATATCAGTGATGGCGAACCTTTTAGAGACCGAGTGCCCAAACTGCAACCCAAAACCCACTTATTTATTACTGGGTGCTGGGTGGGCGTGGCCCACTGGGTGGACGTGGCTGTGGTGGTCATGGCAGATTGGGTGGGAGTGGCCAAGGTGGGTGCGATCACCTCGATGTTGCTCGTGGGGAGGGATGCCTTTGGGGGCCGGGCAGGGTTGGGGGAGATCCAGGGGGTCTCTGCCAGGTGGGGCGGTGGGCAGGAGGCTCATCCTGCAGGGTGAGGTGAGGCAAGGCGAGGCAGGGCTGGGGTGCCATTGTCACAGGGCAAGGTGAGGCAGGGTCCGGGGTGGCTACTGCCTGGCACCATCAGCCCCTGCACAGAGAGGCCAGTGAGCGCATGGGTGCTGGGATGCATCTGGCCATGTGGGACCTTGGCGAGTTAGTGGGCGGCTGGTTGAAGAGGGATGGTTGCCATCTCCAGGGCATGGTCTCTGTGCCCACAGAGAGGACTCTGATTGTCGCCTCTGGCACACGTGCCATAGGTTCACCACCACTGCTCTATATTATTCAGCATTTCTATCATGGCTATTTCAATTCCTCTTTTACCAAATTCATTCTATGGTTTTGTTCCTGTGGTACTTGCCATTTTTAAAAGTTTTCTTTAGCCAAAGGTGGGGTAAATAACAAATGTATTTTAGGAATGGTTATATAATTTCTATAACAACAATTCCACTGAGTTTGTCTAGTTGATATTCAAGGAGAGCAGGGCCATATGGAAAGAAGTACCTGCCCTGGTTTATCACTTCACTAATGAGGAAAGTCCAATATTTAGTCACTGATGCAGAAAAATCTGATGAATTGCAGACCAGAAACCTGGTGGGGTCACTTGGAGATTCTCTGTATGTACTAATTTTTACAGAGGCTGCTTTCACACAAGTTGAACTCTACAACAAATGACAAATTAGAGAGATAGAGTGGGGTCACATAAATACAATAGAATAGAATAATAGAGTTGGAAGGGATCTTGGAGGTCTTCTAGTCCAAGCCCCGCCCAAGCAGTAGACCCTACACCATTTCTGACAGATGGTAGTCCAGTCTCTTCTTGAAAGTTTCCAGTGATGTAGCTCCCACAACTTCTGAAGGCAAACTCTTCCATTGATTAATTGTTCTAACTGTCAGGAAATTTCTTCTTTGTTTGAGGTTGCTTCTCTCCTTGTTTAGTTTCCATCCATTGCTTCTTGTCCTGCCTTTAGGTGTTAGGAGAATAGCTTGACCCCCTCTTCTTTGGGGCAGCCCCTGAGATATTGGAAGACTGCTATCATGTCGCCCCTAGTCCTTCTTCTCATTAAACTAGGTGTACCCAAATCTGGCAACCGTTCTTTATATGTTTCAGCCTCCATTCCCCTAATCATCATTGTTGCTCTTCTCTGTAGTCTTTCTAGAGTCTCAACATCTTTTCTACATTGTGGTGATCAAAACTGGATGCAAGTGTGGCCTTAGCAAGGCCTTGTAAAGTGGTATTAACACTTCACATGATCTTGATTCTATCCCTCTGTTAATGCAGCCTAGCACAGTTGGCTCTTTTGGCAGCTGCAGCACACAGATGGCTCATATTTAAGTGATTGTCCACTAGGACTCCGAGATCCATCTCAAAGTTAGATAGATAGATAGATAACTTTTATTGTCATTTTTTTTTACTGTGGGCACAATGGCACACATTAAAATGAAATTTAGTTGCTTTGAACATACTATATGCAACATATGTGTAGACCTACACCCTTACATATAAGCAACATATAAATATTAATTGCTGTCCATCTTGAATATATGATGGAAGGAGGAAGCTTTAGAGTTCACATGGTTAATACTGTATGGAACAAAACTGTGACTGAATCTGGATGTTCTGCTTCGGATACCACAAAGGCTCCTTCCAGAAGGTAACAAGGAAAAAGGTCGTGAAGAGGATGTGTAGTGTGCCAGACAATATTGCGGACCCTGCTCAAGCAACGCTTATATGCCACATCCTGGATGGAAGGGAGGTAATTGCCAATAATCATTTCAGCCATCCTCACCACTCTCTGCACCTCCTTCCTCTCTGAAGCAGTGATGCTTCCAAAGCAGACTGTGATGTTGTAACAGTTACTACTGTTGAGTGAGGTACCACCTACACTATACCCGTGCATCTGGTTTTTCTTGCCTAAATGTAGAACCTTACTTTTTTTACTTTTGAATTTCATAAAATGCTAAACCACAGAAACATAATCCAAGATTAAAACGAACTGATTGCCTATTTACATGTTGGCTTTAACATACCAAATGAGGAAAGCAGAGGTAGTTCTGCATGAATTTCCACTTCAATTGACCTGTTTAAACATCATTCACAAACACACCCAGATTTTTATCCTTCTCTGGGCTGACACATCCTTTGTGAATTTGTCACTTTCTGAAACTGCATCCAGTTTTGGTCACCACGATGTAAAAAAGATGTTGAGACTCTAGAAAGAGTACAGAGAAGAGCAACAAAGATGATTAGGGGACTGGAGGCTAAAACATATAAGGAATGGTTGCTGGAATTGGGTATGTCTAGTTTAACGAAGAGAAGGACAAGGGGGGACATGATAGCAGTGTTCCAGTATCTCAGGGGCTGCCACCAAGAAGAGGGAGTCAAGCTATTTTCCAAAGCGACTGAAGGCAGGACAAGGAGCAATGGGTGGAAACTAACCAAAGAGAGAAGCAACCTAGAACTAAGGAGAAACTTCCTGACAGTTAGAACAATTAACCAATGGAACAACCTGCCTCCAGAAGCAGTGAATGCTCCAACACTGGAAGTTTTTAAGAAGAAACTGGACAACCATTTGTCCGAAATGGTGTAGGGTTTCCTGCCTGAGCAGGGGGTTGGACTAGATGACCTCCAAGGTCCATTATTATTATTATTATTATTATTATTATTATTATTATTATTATTATTATTATTATTATTATTAACTCGGGCAACTGTTGATGTCCTTTTAGGACCTTTAAGGCAGGTGTTTCCTCACATGGATCTTATGGCCACCTGGTGTGGTTCATTTCTCTTTCCCGTCCTATATTCCTTTTCAACAAAAAGTTATATTTGTTTTTATAAATACTGTTTCAATATGGCTCCAGATTCATTGATATGGTGGCATATGGATGTTTAATCAGTAATTGAAGAAATGCATATGGGGAGCTTACCCTCTAAACATCTGTGGCCTGAGTGAAAAATCACAGAGATTACCTGCCATGGCTGGACATTTGAGATCCTCTTTCCAAGCCTCATCATGGATGGTCGGGTTACTGATCCAAACATGGCATGTAAGGCGTGTGCCACAGCATAAATGGCATTATAGATAATGTAACTTTCACCCGTCATGCTTGTTTCAAATACATAAGATGGTACAGCCTGCAAATTCTCCGTTCCTGTACATTGTCTGGCCCCCTTTGGAGGGATCCCTCCTGATTTGTGGATTTTGCATTTAAAGATTTTTTCCCACCATAGCGGGAGGAAGTCATCTCCTTTTGAGTTCAGAGGGTCTAAAGATAGGAGAAATAGGCTGAATTCTGGCACATCTCTGTTGTGGTTCCTAAAATGCAAAGCCCCATGGAAGTATTTTCGAAATTGCAATACATCGTGAGATCCCACCACACTAAGATCCCAATGGGAAGGTATGATCCAAACTTTCTGAAATGATACTGATCGTCCAGACCGAAGCAGAGTGAACACTACCAATGATATAGTACTGGAGTCTCCAAACAGAATAATCACTTCAACTTCAAGCAAAATCTTGAAAACAAGATCCATTCCTAATACATTAATAGCAGGAATGTCAGAATTAAATATTTCTGGGAAGGCCAGGCAGATCTCCTTCTCCTCCAGCGTTGGAATCAGAGTTGAGATGAAATGTTCTCCAGTGTCATCTTTAGAGGCCACCAGCCCAACCCAGTTCCACTGGAAATACAGGAGCAGCTGGACTAAACCCACAAACTGAGGGAATTTCTTGGGATTAATCCAGAAGAAGGAAGGATAATCCATTCCGTCTCCATGAGGGAACTCAGAGCCGACACTAAGCTGGAGAGAGTGAGATTTTTTTTTTTCAAACACAATGTGCTTGAGGCATCACGATTACATGGCTATTGCCTCACCAGTCAAGTTGACTCAGTTTGAGTGGCAAATCTAACCTTCTTCACTTCTTAGAATGCTGACAGTACAGCATGTCAGAATTATCTCATATCTATCTCCTGGGGGTTATATAATAGCAATAGCACTTAGATTTATATACCATTTCACAGTGCTTTAAAGAACTCTCTAAGCAGTTTACAGAGTCAACTTATTGCCCCCAATAATCTGGGTCCTCATTTTACCAATCTTGGAATGATGGAAGGTTGAGTCAACCTTGAGTAGGTCAGGATTGAACCCCTGGCAGGAGAATGCAGAGTTAGCCTGCAATGTGACACCATCACAGCCCTTACAAAATGTATCTTAATACATAAAATATTAAAATAAGTTCAGCTATAGCATGGATACTTTAATTCATATATCCCTGATATGCTCACCTCTGAAATGCTTTTGGTTTCATTTTTGGCTTCTTTTGTTTATCTACCTCATGCTGTATGCAGTGAAGCCACCTTACCTGTGGGACCTTGAAGATGCTGAAGATGGAGGCCATCTGCATTGAGGATTTTGAGTTGCCACTTCCGATGACAGACAGCAGAGACTCCTGTCTGTTACATTTATAGCCTGGAACCATTTGACCTCGTGTGGAGAGCAGGGAGAGGCTGATTAAAGAACTATTCCTCTCAGTCTGGTGATTGTCATAGACATGGAAGCCAAGGGTGATGTTGGGAAGGAGAACCAGATCCTTGTTGACCTCTGTGACTGCAAATTTCAAGGTCAGGAACTGCTGATAGTTCTTGGGTATGGGCCTATAGTGAGAAAATCATTGGGGCACATTACATCACAATGTCTATGTGCTGGTGGAGTTTACCTTGCCTTATTTTGGTGTTCTTCAGAGTAGCAAGCTCCATGTTTCATTGGGTTTATGTTTTTTTAAAGAAAGACCTTGATTAAACTTGATTGTCTTTGCAAGAAAAGAGAAAAGTTGTTGTTGTTGTTGTTAATTGCGAAGTTATGTCCAACCCATCGTGACCCCATGGACAACGTTCCTCCAGATCTTCCTGTCCTCTACCATCTTCTGGAGTCCATTTAAGCTCACGCCTCCTGCTTCAGTGACTCCATCCAGCCACCTCATTCTCTGTCGTCCCCTTCTTCTATGGCCCTCAATCTTTCACAGCATTAGGCCCTTCTCCAGTGAGTCCTTCCTTCTCATTAGATGGCCAAAGTACTTGAGTTTCAACTTCAGGATCTGGCCTTCTAAAGAGCAGTCGGGGTTGATCTCCTCTAGGACTGACCAGTTTGAACGCCTTGCAGTCCAGGGGACTCGCAGGAGTCTTCTCCAGCACCAGAGTTCAAAGGCCTCAATTCTTTGGTGCTCAGCCTTTCTTATGGTCCAACTTTCACAGCCATACATTGCAACTGGGAAAACCATGGTCTTGACTATACACACTTTTGTTGGCAGGGTGATGTCTCTGCTTTTTAGTATGCTGTCTAGATTTGTCAAAAGTATTTCTCACCAAATCACAATTGCTCCTGTAGCATTCTAATTAATTTAGTTCTCTCTTTAAGCAGCTATTACAGGTTTTGTAACCATTACTGAGCACAAAACTTCAATGGAGGTCACAGCAATTATTTTCTGAATATTCGAATATTCACAAGTATTGCTGATCCCCAGGTATTGCTGATATATTTTTGCTTTTGTCGGTACTCCGTCATGGAAAAGGACTGAGCTTTTATTTGAATTTTCCAACATGACTTTCTGTCCAAATTAACATTATAAGTCAACTTCTTCTCTAGGCCAGCACAGTTTCTGTTGTCCCTCTTCACTTTTTAAATTTATCATTTTGCTGATGAAGACTTCTGAAAAGATTGAGAATTGTAGCCTATTTTTTAAAATGTATTTATTGACCACTTTTACATGCCATCCATGATACTATCAAAGTGATACATTTTATGACATTGGCTCTTTATTGTGAAAAGCACAAAGATGTGAATTACACTTGGATATTGCAACATATATTTCTAAAAGGAGTCCTTGAATCTAAACCAAATCAAACAACTATCTACAACTTTCTGCTCCAGGTAAAACTTACATGAGTCTATAAGGAACCTTGGATGGATCTCTTCTAAAGTCTGGGTCGTCGGAATAACGAATGTGTGTCAGGAGCAAATTCCCACCAATAATGAGATCTCCAGGCCTGTAATACTCTTGCTGAATCTGGAAAGTGTTTGCCAATACAGACATGTTTGGCATTGTCTTAGCAATCGGTGAAGGCAGGAGCCAGAAGAGCAGCAGCAGCAGAAGAGGCAGACCAATCATTCTTGGCACTTTCCCTCCGTCAGAGGAATAATTGGGGATGCCAACTCGAGACGGGGTTGTGCAAGAATAAATAAAAATGAAATCCAGAAAGCTGTGAGGAAAGGAGAAAGATTTATTCCCTAAGACAAAGAGGTTTTCCTTTGGAGGCAGCTGTATAGGGGAGCTTGTCCTATGTGTGGAACTGTCTACGTGCCAATTCTAGGGTGACACTTGAGGGGCGTGGGTGCCTGTAGGTATGTCATCTATCATGGTTATTCTTGTGAACGTGCAGTTTTACTGGGAGATCATTTTGATTAATTCTATTTGTGTTTACAGTCTTCTCCTTTGATATGTGGATTAGGTCTGGGTAACTTATTTGGAGGTTTGAGGAAGTTTGAGTAGAAGTCCCCTCCCCCCTGTTTGTACTTTTACTTTATTTAGTTTTCGCTTGACTGTCGATTATGATGCTCAGACCATTGTGGATTCTGTTAATGTTTTAAAGGAAGATGGAGACAGTATAAAGAATAAAATATATTTTGAGATAGAATAAGACCCTAGAATAACAGGGTCTTCTAGTCTAACCCTCTGTTTGTGTATGTCTCTTATATAAGGTATAAATAATAAAATATATTTTGAGATAAAACTTCCCACACCTGCTAGATGAGAAATCAAGTTATGAGCAGAAGCTGAATAGCAGGTAACACTTCAAATCTCACAAGAGCTTTAGCAGAATAGTGAGTGTCCGTACAAACTAGATGATCTCTGGGCAAATTTATATCAACCATGTTTTCTCTTACCTCTTTTTCTCCTGTCACTAAAGAGAAAACTAAGGCCACCTGAGTCGCACCAAACCCAGAGGTTAGCTCTTTTCAAGACATGCTAAGGTGACATGTTCAGCTCTTACCTGGAGAACTAAAAGCATATTGCTTAAAGCAGGTTTTATCTTGGAAGATTTTTGTGTGTAGAAATCCACAGGGGATACATTGAGAATTACTGTTCTTCTGATAATTGCAAGGAAAAGCAATTGTCCTACCTACATAACATTAGATTTTGTTTGTGCACCAGACAGGGGAAAAAATAGAAGAGAATAGAATAACAGAGTTGGAAGGGACCTTGGAAGTCTTCTAGTCCAACCCCCTGCTTGTGTATGTCTCTTGTAATCCATGGAGCAGATGGACTTGAGAGTCAAGGTGATGTTGGTTTTTTGACCTACGTGAAACTGAGTATCTGCTAACGAGATGGGGTTTGGCCTGTTCCATAGTTTGTTTGAATGGACATGGTGGCCCATGAGAATCAGTTGCACCTTAGTAAGTGTGAGCAATCAAATCAACACTTCGATGGAGTAACTTATTTGCTTATAAACACATGGCAGGAGATGAATTCAGAAATGAAGTTCCCCAATTGATCTTAGAAATAGACAAGAGAATCCCTGAAGATGTTAGGCACATTTGAACTCCAAGGGAATATTGTTTAACAACTAGTTGAAGCCAGAAAAAATTATTTGGACCATCTTGTCCAAAAATTATGGCCAAAAAAGAACAACCTAAAAGTGCACAGGCAATACTTTTCTGTTGCTGGCCCTGTTTTTTCTGCAGTAACTTCACCCCAGAAATGGGATGTTCTCCCATGTCCCAGAAGCTATTAAAACAGAATTATTCTGGAATGATTTTTATGTCTGAAGTCTTGCTGTCAATTGTACTGGTTCTATAATTATTTATGTAGTTAACTGCAGGCTCCTTTTTATTAGGAAACATAGCCAAAACTAGCTTCCAAAGAAACTAGGGCTTCTTGTAAATTGTTTGCTCCATTTCTTCGTCACAATCAACAATCTTGGTGTTTGTTATCATATTTAAAAATCTCCCTTCTCACCTTTATTGATGGTTGGTATCTTCCTCAATCTTGGGTCTTCTACCAGAGACCAAGATGTTTGAGGGATCAAAGCAGTAACCTAGCTCTTCCTAGCAGTGACCTTTTTGGGACACAGAACTCCACTGTGGGAGCCACTCTGCCAACTTAGGAATCATAGAACTGAGTGTTTTTACCATCACTGAAATTACTTCAGCCTTGACTTTCCATATCTTCTCTTGTTCCTCCTTAAGACCCTGGTTTTCCACCAGCTTCTTCCTGTTGTTGCTGTCACTTGACTGTGTTGCATCTATCACCACCACTTTCTTCTTTCTATGACCACTATGTCTGATTGATTGGCCAGGACCTGTCTGTCTGTCCAGATTTGCAAGTCCCAATGGATCGTAGCCCTGTTATTCTTCAAACTTTGAGTGGAATATCACATCTGGGCTTGGGAATGTCTAGCCCATACACTGTGCATATGTTCCTGTATACAACACCAACTACTTTGTGGTGCCATTCAGGGCATGTTGTCCCTGCCTTCATCTGACACCCTGCCACTGTCATAATCAGAATAAAGATGGAAGGGACCTTGGAGGTCTTCTAATCAGCCTCCTGCTCAAGCAGGAGACGTTCTACCATTTCAGACAAGTGGCTGTTCAGTCTCTTCTTAAAAAACTCTAGTGATGAAGCACTCACAACTTCTGATGGCAAGCTGTTCCATTGGTTATTGTCCTCGCTATGTATTGGATTGTCTCTGAGGCTGGATGCAATATTTAGGTATGGTGTCACCAATGTAGAATATGGAGGAACCATGATTCTCTTGATGTTGATGCTCTATGTCTGTAGATACAGCAAGGATTATGGGGATTTTTTAAGCTGCATCAACAGACGCAGAGTGTCAGCAACAAGATGCTTATGTTGACTTATGTTCAGCTTGTGATTCATGAAGATATACAGATCTTTTCACATAAGCTACTGCTCAGGTTGCTCTCTTCAATCCTAAACAAGTGCCTTTGATGTTTCCTACACAAATAAAGGACTTGAATATGTCCATGTTGAATTGATCTGATTGGATTCTGATTATTAATCCGTCTTGTTGAGATCTTGAATCCTGATCCAATCCTCTATGACAGTTTTTCTCAACCATGGAAATTTAAGGTATCTAGACTTCAATTCCCAATTCCTAGTCAGCAAGCTGAAGTCCACATTTGTTAATGTTTACAAAGTTCAGAAACATTTCTCTAAGATGTTTTTCTTTCTACCATATTTTTTTTGCTAACTTCAAAGATATTAAATATATTTTAATTTATTGTACTAGTCATTTTTAATATATTGAAAAGCATAGGACTCAGAATGAAGCCTTCAACATTGAAGTCTCTTTCTAGGTTCAAGCATATTTTATTTCGGTACATTCATTCAACTAGCTCATAGCAGACTTCAGCCCCCATTTTGCTCTCTTCTCTACTGGGATCCCATGGAAGATATTGCCAAATGCTTGGTGAAATCAAGGTTCTGTTCTATTCTATTCTGTTCTGTTCTATTCTATTCTTCTAATTAGTTAAGCATATCACGTTATAATACTGAGTCCTAAAGTTGAAATGTTTTAGTATTATTTAAATTGTATTGTACCAAATCTGAAATGTAAATAGAATGAATTTCAAATAGGAATTAAAAATGACATGTCTTTGGACAGAGATGATTATAAAATATTTCCATGATTTCTAATCATTTGAAGGACAAGTCCCTCTCTTATTTCATCATTGTTAAGAAATCATATCAAATTTAAAAAAGGCCCCAAAGTCAAAATAAAAGTTACTACATTACACATAAATCAGAGATTCTTGCGCCTCATTATATTTTCTCTCTTATTCAGATCAGGCCTCAATAGGATAATATAACACTTGGGGGAAAAGATACAAGCCAAGAGACCAGCCCCAGAGACTAAGATGGAGAAGATCTCCACAGTCACCATAGACTTCCCTTTAGTGCTCAGGTAGGTGGGGAGGAAAGTGATCCAAACACTGCAAAAGACCAGCATGCTAAAAGTAATGAACTTGGCTTCATTAAAGCTGTCTGGCAATTTCCTAGCTAGAAAGGCCATTGTGAAACTGACGAGGGCCAAAAAACCCAAGTAGGCAAGGATAGTGTAAAACATTGAAGCTGAGCCTTCATTACATTCCAAGATGGCCTCTCCAACCAAGGAGTGGAAGTCCATGTTAGGAAATGGGGGAGAGGTTACCAGCCAGATGGCACAAATAACTGTTTGGATCAGGGGACAGGTGATAACAATGGAGTTGGTCAGTGCTTTCCCTAAGAATTTCCTTGCCCTGTTCCCTGGCTTGGTGGCCATGAAGGCCAGAACCACCATGGTAGTTTTTGCCAAGATAGAGGAAACTGCAAGGGAAAAGACAATGGCAAAGGCAGTTTGTCGGAAGAGACAGGTGAGTTTCCTGGGTCGACCAATGAAGAGGAAGGAGCAGAGAAAGCAGAGCAGGAGGGAGACCAGGAGGATGTAGGTGAGATCTCGGTTGTTGGCCTTGACAATTGATGTGTGACGATGCATAAGGAAAATTCCCAGAACTGCCAATGTGTTCATACAGAGAGAAAGAGTGAGAGAGGCTAAAATGTATCCAAGGGTATCTTGATAGGCAAGGAAGTGGATCTTCTTGGCAATGCAGTGGTCCTTGTCCTTGTTGGGATACTGGTCTTCTGGGCAGGGATCACAGCGAGCTGTATCTGAAATCAAGAAATCAAATCTTTGTCTGAACATTATTTCTCCCTCATTATTCCTCCCTCCCTCTGTTTTGGCATGACTGTCCCCTATAGCAAATCCACAAAGGAAATGATGGGATGACCTATTGTGCATTTCATGGTGGATCAAAAAGGCAATTTTTTCTATAGTATATTATTCATGATGCCTTTGCCAGAGATCAGGATGTGTTCAGCTCCAGTTAATCTGGTCCTTTTTGCTGTGTGAAATAAATGCCATCTTCAGTCACTAGGTGCTTCCATGACCATTGTGGGTTTCAGCGTGAGAGATTGTCATTTCTTTCCCAATTTTTTTCTCTCAGCCAGAAATCCTGCTCTATTGTTTGCTCTATTGTGCATTAGTTTTCATTTGTGCTGAGAATATCTAAAATGCAACAGAGAAGGACATAAAAGTGTCTACTGAGTTTTAGGAGAGGGAAAGATCTCTTTTCCAGATCAAAGGTGATTTATAGATAAATTGATTGCCAGAGGGTGAGAAGAAAGAATGATTCAGAAGCAGCACAGCACTGAGAGTTCCTTGGCTCAAATTCTCTGCTTTGAACTTCAAATCTGTTTATTCAGATTTTTGTTGTTGTTGCAGGGAACGATTGCCAGACATAGATAGATAGATCTTCTGTTCCTCTGATGGGTCTATCAATTCCATAGGTGACTGACAGTACTGACAGAAGAAGCACACTCTAAATATTAAAAAAAATAACTTGAATTTTAAAATTAACTTGAAATGGAGTGGCAGTCAGTTTTCCCAATGGGACATGACACTCTATATGAAATTATTGAGGAATGAGATAGGTGGCCTATGGGGGCAGGACAATTTAGATCCATAAACTGAAATGTTCTGCTATAAAGTATGAATATTTTGACACATGTCAATCCTATAAAAATGACAGCAAAATTAAATTTTTGTTTTACTGAATGACTTCTGTGATCCTGCAAGATCTGCTTTTAAGATTTGCTCTACCTGTTTGATTAGAAACGGTCCCTTCTGGACATGGTAAACATTGGTAGCAGCAGACCTGCTTGCCCTCTGGAAGGCTTCTCCTCTCTCCTGCATGGCACCTCTTCATGCCACACCTGGCAAAGGGCACCTTCTAAGAGAGAAAAGAGAAATGCTTGAGATGGCATAAGCAACAAACATGCTTCATTGATTCTTCTCCACATTCCTATTCCTATTTATTATTATTATTATATAGCTTTTATGAAACCATAAATAATGAGGATCCAACAGAACAGTGTGAAGGAAATGTTTTCTGAGAGGAATGGAAGTGGGTAAGCAAAATAGAAAGAGAAGAAATGGGTTCTAATTGAGGCAACATTGAAGTACTTGGTTCTCAGTATGCTTTATCAAACTTTCTATGGCAACATGGGTGACATGGTTCTTTTTATTAACACAATAGTTCTTTCTTGGGGATAGTAACAACAGAAAGGTGGAGAAGTAACTTGAGATTTGCCAAATAAGAACATCTATGGCTAAAAGGCGAAAGATTTATATGATCTGAAGAGAAACCAGAGTATATTTATATGTATTTATATGTAAGGGTATAGGTATATACTGTACATATGTTGTATGTAGCATGTTTATATGTGTGTTATGTATGTGTACACTTTTGAGAGCAGGCAACAGAATTTCATTTTTAATGTGTGCCAGTGTGCCCACAGTAAAAAATGTCAAAAAAGGTTACCTTATCTTATCTCATCTTATCTTCCCTTTCCTGAAATGTATAAATATGAGTGAATCCTTTTGCCTGTAGGAGTCCCTCCCATTGCTTACTCCAGTGTACGCTATTAAATCCTGCAGTGAGATTTGATCATTGGTTTTGGGGTCCAGTGTTTGACTCCCCAATGGGAATAGTCCATAGAAATCACTGTTGCCTGTCGTAATGGCATCCTAGCTTTCAAGAACTTCTTCCCCATCCTAACCTTTTCTGGACCTGCCACAAATCATACTTGAAATGTGTTACATGCAAATCAGGTTTTTCACCAAACAGCTACCATATTTTTGATTCAATAGACCTTTTTCCAGCTAGAAGAATGTTCTGCATCTCCGGAAGAGAATGAATCTTTCCCTGAATTTACAACAATGCTTTTAAACTGACCTTTGTGGCCCAGATGATTGCATCAGAGTTAATCATGAAATCCTGGCCTGGGGGAGCCCCAGGATTGATTTGCCCAACTTTAACAAAAACAATTGATTGATTGGGGAGGAAAACCCAGTTGAAAAGATCATAACGAGCAGATCCCAGTCCATTTTCTGAAAAGGAGACTTCTTCTCCAGCACTATTGTTGAACTGGATGTTCCTCAAATAGGGAAGAAGCTGAAAGAAAAAGAGACCTTCAGAAATTAAAGTAATTGGCTGAAAGCCACAAATGAGTCATCATGGCTCCTGCCATTCTATGATGTCCCTCATTTTAGCAGACTGATTTATGTCTGAGAAGCTAGTGAAATTCATGGAGATTTGAGCAGTCAGGAGTAACACCAAAGGCTTAGCTACTTAACCAACACAACACAAGTTTGCCTTAGTGATTGGGCTTTTGTATCAATGGCTTTTTCAACTCCACTTTGAACAAATGTTTCCTACCTACAATGTTTATAATGCCACACTCCAAATTTCATTGTTTGTCTCTTCTCATGCTTTACTTGGCTACATACATACATATTTTTTCTATCCTGCTCTATGGAGTAGAGAGTTGGTCTCTGACAGAAGGCCACCTGAAGAGACTAGAAGCATTTGAAATGTGGATTTACAGGCGGCTGTTACGTATAAGCTGGGTTGACAAGATCAGAAATGAGGAGGTGATAAGCCCCCTGGGAAAGCCCAGGGAAATCATCAAAACAATTAAAAAACAAAAATTAGAATATTTCGGACATGTGATGTGACACCCTGAAAAATAAGGCATGCTCCATTTAATTCTCCAGGGAAAGATTGAAGGCAAACGAGGTCCAGGCAGAAGAAGAACATCATGGCTTCAAAATCTAAAGGACTGGTTGGGACAAAACTCAGCAGCACTTTTTCGTGCGGCTGCTGATAAAAACAGGATCGCCAACATGATCGCCAATATCCGATAACGGATATGGCACAAGAAAAAGAAGAAGATACATTTTAAAATCTTTACTTTGGTCCAGGGTTTTACAGATCACAAATATATTTTAGGAATGATTAAATAATTTCTTTCAAAATGGTGTGCAATTCCACTAACTTTCTCTAGCTGATAGACAAAGAGGGACAAAAGGAATCATATCTGGATAAGTGGGGCCATGTGGAAGGAAATGCTTGCCCTAGTTTGTCATTTCACTGTCCAGTGAAGCCTTTGATGGAGAAAAGCCTGATGAATTTCAGATCAGCAACAGTTTGGATTCAGGTCACAAACTGAGCGAAATTAAGTTGGTTCTTGAAATATGTCCACAAAAACTTCAACTGCCCTATTGAAGCATCTTGCCCAAATACACCCAGATTGTCATCTTTCTCTGGGCTGATTCCTCTTCCATGAAGTTGTCACTTCCTGAAACTCAGGAAAATATTGAAGATCTTTTAGATCCTCATATGATTGTACTTCATCTATGGATCTGATGGATGACTGGTTTGGTTTATTTCTGTTTTTCCTCCTCTGCCCCTTTTCAATCAAGGCCACACTTGGAATACGGCATCCAGTTTTGGTCACCACAACATAAAAAAGATGTTGAGACTCTGGAAAGGGTGCAGAGAAGAGCAACAAAGAAGATCAGGGGCCTGGAGGCTAAAATACTATAAGGAACGGTTGTTGGAATTGGGTATGTCTAGTTTAATGAAGAGAAGGACCAGGGGGGACACGATAGCAGCCTTCCAGTATCTCAGGGGCTGCCACAAAGAAGAGGGAGTCAAGCTATTTTCCAAGGCACCTGAAGGCAGGACAAGAAGCAATGGAGGAAAACTAATCAAGGAGAGAAGCAACCTAGAACTAAGGAGAAACTTCCTGACAGATAGAACAATTAACCAGTGGAACAACCTGCCTCCAGAAGTGGTGAATGCTCCAACACTGGAAGTTTTTAAGAAGAGACTGGACAGCCATTTGTCCAAAATGGTGTAGGGTTTCCTGCCTGAGCAGGGGGTTGGACTCGATGATCTCCAAGGTCCCTTCCAACTTTATTATTATTATTAAACATCAAACTTCATTCCCATCATTGTTTTTAATCATTGCTGTTCCAACCTGCTCTGATGTACATGGATATGGTAGCCTACAGATATTTAATGAGTAATTCCAGAAATACATATGGGAAATGTCCTCTATAAGGATCTGTGGACTGGATAAAAAGTCACAGAGATTACCTGCCATGGCTGGACATTTGAGATCCTCTTTCCAAGCTTCATCATGGCTGGTCGTCCTCCAGATCCATATATTGCACGTAATGAGTGTGCCACAGCATAAATGGTATTGTAGATGTTGTAACTTTCACCGGTCATGCTTATTTCAAACAAGAAAGATGGTACATTTTGTAAATTCTCCTTCCCAGTACAGTTTTTCATCTCGTCTAGATAAAATATACCTGGTTTGCGGAAGTCGCATTCAAAGACCCTTTCCCACCATAACGGGAGAAACATATCCCCTTGTGGGTTCAAGGGGTCTAAAGACAGGAGGAAATTGCTGAATTTTGAGATGTCACCAGTGTGATCCCTAAAATGCAAAGCTCCATTCAAGGGTTTTAGATATTTCCATATATCTACATTTCCCATTACACTGAATTTCCAAGAGGAAGTTAGGATCCAAACATTCTGAAGTGGTTCCCTTTCATGAATTACATAAAACTCCAGACCACACTGAAAAAGCTCAACAGTTGCAGAGTCTCCAAAGAAAACAACAACATCAGCTTTGAGCCAAATTTTGGAATATAAAAAAAACTGCTCCATATCTTCAAAATTTTGCAGCATTTGAGTGAAGGCCAAGCAGATTTCCTTCTCCTTGAGCATTGGCATCAAAGTTGAAATGAAATGTTCTCCAATGTCATTTTTAGGAGCCAGAAGCCCAACCCAGTTCCACTGGAAATACAAAAGCAACTGGACTAAACCCACATACTGAGAAAATTCCTTGGGATTAATCTGGAAGAAGGAAGGATAAACTCTTCTGTCTCCTCCAGTGGATCCAAAGCCAACACTGAGCTGGAAAAAGTGAGAATCTTCTTTAAAAGACAAAGCAAAATTTGTGGTGACTTTAGGGGTTCCCATTGTGTAGTTTATTGACCCCATCAATCAAGCTGAGTCATTTTGAGAGATAAGCTTCTTAGCTTCTTGGGATGAGCCATCAATTAACATATTTGCAGAGTTGTAACATGTCAGAATCCAAGGGAACAAACCATCAAACAATGTTTTATGTTACATGAAACATATCTTGACATATAAAATACTTAAATGAATCCAAGTATAGCATTGATTCTCTAAGTCACATATTATTTAATCCATCACCACACCCTAAACATCTTTGGTATCATCTTGCGCTTCTGTGAGTTTGTCTGTTGTTTGTCTATTTCATATAAGTATCCAAAGGAGCCCCCTTACCTGTGGGACCTTGAAGATGCTGAAGATGGAAGCCATCACTATTGAGGATTTGGCGTTGTCACCTCCAATGACAGAAATCAGAGGGTCCTGCTGGTCACATTTATAACCTGGAACCATTTGGTCACGTGTGGAGAGCAGAAAAAGGCTGATTAAAGAAATCCTCCTTTCCCACTGGACATTGTCATACATGTGGAAACCAAGGGTGATGTTGGGGAGGAGAAAGAGATCCTTGTTGATCTCTGTGACTGCAAACACCAAGGCCAGGAACTGGTGGTAGTTGTTGGGAATGGCTCTATAGTGACCAAAACATTGTAAAATATTACAGGAAAGCTTGTGTGTGCTCGTGGATTTTGCCTTGTCTTTAATCTTTGTGAGGGTTTACTTTGGAGCAGGAAGTCCAAAATATTAATAGTTTTTTTAAAAATGTTTTTGATTGTGAGAAAGGAGAAAAAGCCTGTTATGGATCATTTTATATCCTTCTATCACTTTTATATCCTTCTTCACTTTGCTTCAGTGTCTGTAATCCTACCCAGTTTCTCCTCTCGTAGCCTAATCAATTTTATTCTCTCTTGGAGCAGCTTCTTCAGGTCTGATAAACATTGGTGACAACAACAGTGGGGGACACAGCAAAGATTTACTGAGGGTCATTATTCATAAGCACTGCTGATTTCAAAACTGAGTTTTGTGGGTTTTTTTTAATAGTACTCCATGCAGGAATAGCTTTGAGCTTCTCTTTGAATGTTCCATCTTGACTTTCTGTCCAAATTAACAATGTCAGTCATCTTCTTAACTAGGGCAGTGAAATTCCTAATGTGTTGGCCCTCATCACTCTTACGTGGTTTATTGTCTTCCTGACAAAGAATTCTGGAAAAATTGAGAATCTAGTCTGTTTTATGAGCTTGGCTCTTTATTGAGAAAAAACACAAACATTGGAACTACATTAGGACATTGAAAGATCATCGGAACAAATATTTTTGAGCAAACAAAGCAAACAATCATCTACATTTTTCTCCTCCAGGTGAAACTTACACAAAGGTAACAGAATACCATAATGGGTCCATTGTAAAGTCTAGGTAGACACTGTTACTATAAACGCCAAGGGGAAAATTCCCACCAATAATGAGATCACCAGGCCTGTAATAGTATTCCTGAATCTTTAAACGTTTTGGCAAGACAGACATGGTTTGCATCCTCATAGCAGATGTTGGAGAAGTTGGAGGCAGGAGCCAGAAGAGCAGTAGCAGCAGGAGAGGCAGCCCAGTCATTCTTGTCACCTTCCCTCCTAGATCAAAAATCAAGGTTTGTGCAGAAGCTGATTTACAGGTATCCCATGAAATCTCAGCAGAGTCTTAGCAAATAGTCTGATTATGCCACCTCAGTGGCCCCAGTTCAAATTTATATCAAACATGCTTCCACTTACCTGTGTTGGGACTGTGACCAAAGAGAAAACCGTGTCAGCTGAGTCTCATGAAAGCTAGAAAATAGCTCTTTGGAAGATACAAAAGGGTCTCTCTCTCCCTCCATTAGTTGAAGTCAAAGAATATTTTTGAATCAGGTTTTATCTTGGAAGATTTTTGTAGGTTGAAATTCATAGGGGATTCATTAAAATTACTGTTGTTCTGGTAATTGCAAGGAAAAACAATGGTCCTACTCACTTAGCACTATATTTTGTTTGTGCACCAGAAAAACATGTGCATGTCTCTTGTTGCTATTCCACAGAGCAGATAGATTTGAGAGTCAAGATAAAGTTGGTTATTTCACGTACATGAAACACCCCATGTAAACAATTTGGACTTTGACCTATGCTTTAGCTTGCTTGGATAGTATGAGTGCAAAAGGAGCATGGTGGCACATGACAATCAGTTGCATACTACTAAATGTGAGCAATAATACCAGTGCAGGATGTAATAACTGATTTATTGATACTCAAATGGAATGGGATTCGAAGTAGAAACTTTCTTCTCCCATAGATCTTTAAAACAGGCAGGAGGATCTTTCTTCTTCTTCTTTTTTTTTTTTTTTCAAAATTTTATTTATAATACAATTAAAAACATTGGATATAACGTGACATTCCAGTATATACATTCTTATCAAGTTATTCCACATTTTACAATTGATTCTTCATCTCTAATTATACATCTAAGTTTTATATACAGTACTTATTCTAAAATAACATATATTTTTATCTTAACACTAGTTTTTAATCCCAACCGTCCTCCTTGAATCCTTGCAGCGGTAAAATTTATCCCAGGTTTCGAAATAAACTGATCCACATTTGTCTTTCAACACCACTGTGAGCCTGTCCATTTCCGCATATGCTAATATTTTATATAGTGACTCTTCCTCTGTGGGGATTTCTTTGCTCTTCCATTTTTGCACAAACGCAAGCCTAGCTGCAGTCAAGATGTGTAACAGCAAATAGATTGTTCCCTTATTGTATTTCCCTGTAGTTATTCCCAACAAGAAGAGTTCAGGTTTTAACTCTAAGTCCAATATTAATATATCTTTCAGCCAACTTCGTATCCTATTCCAATACTCACGAGCCTTTGGGCATTCCCACCACATATGGTAATATGATCTTACTGCTGTTTTACATTAGGCAGGAGGATCTTTCAAGTTGCCAGGCTAATTTAAACTCTGCAGCAGGTCTGTCTAAGAACTTGTTGGAGCTATAAATGTTTGTCTGCTCTATTTGTCTTATGAAGTATGTAATCCGAATGTTCAGCTGGCGTGGAAAGGATACCATCATTTATAGTAAATGTCTGGACCAGCTGGGATAGTAAGAATGGGTTCATGGTGTTACATGATTCTCCCCTTTCTCTGAAGTTGGTGCCAGCCACAACAGGACATACTGAGCTCAACCCCTTATTTTCAAGGTGCCTCAGTGAGGCCTTCTCAGTTCAAGGTCAGGTATCATCTGTATGCTGGTGTTATTCAATTCCACAATCAGCGAAGGAGCAAGCAATGCAATCAATGTTTTGCCCTAGTTCCTGACAGCTATTGGATGAGGAGGAAGAGTCTCAGTTTTAATCCTACCCAAATCGAGCAGCTGTGGATGAATGGTCCTCCCTGTACTGGGTCCTGCATGGCATTGCATTGCCATATTTGGGACTGTTGTGCAATCTGGGGTTCTTCCTGGACACTCATCTCCTGCTCATAGAACAGATAATAACCATGGTCAGGAAGGTCTTTGTAAAGTTTCAGGTTGTTAAACAGGATGATCTTGAACTGGGATGAATCTGAACATGCATGAGAGCAGCACAGCAGTGGCCAGAGTTGAAGGAGGAAGTCTCAGTTATTGGGGTTGGGTTCAGCAGTGGAAATGGACCAGCATGGAGTTTTCCTTGGGATGATGGCAGTGTATCCATCCTTGCTCTACTTGACCTCTTGGTGGTCTCCAACTTCATCAACCATGGTATCTTTCTGTATCAACTCCATTTTATGGAAGTGGGCAGCCGTGGATTTTGCAACTTCTTTTCACTTCTACAGGGCAGATACCAGTCCATGTTGATTGGGAATGATAGGTCCCACACTTGACCCCTTTATATGGGTGCCACAGTGTTTGGTGCTTTCTCCTCTCCTCTTTAACAGATACATGAAGACACTGGGTGAGATCATCCTTCTATGTGGGGTGAGGTATTATCAGTGTGCTGAATAGTCTCTACTTAACATCTCTGCCCTCATGAATTAAGCAGTGCTATTCATTTCCTAGTGCCTTTGGGGTCTTGAGGTTAAAATCTGTCTTAAGCTCGACCTAGAATAACTAAGTGGATTTATGCTCTAAGCTCTTTTGGATTTGAGATTTTACCATCTTTGGTACTGGATGAGGTTGCACTGCCCCAAACAAGCCCAACATATAATCTGGGAGTCCTTCATAACTCCTGACTCCTACCTCAAGAATAGGTCACTATTGCAGGTAGGAGACTCTTTGTAAAGCTGTGTTTTGTGTGCCAGTTGTACCTATTTCTGATTCATGAGAATCTGTTCACGGTTCTTCATGCCCTGGTCTCCTTCTGAGATATGAGGCAGCCGTGTGTGGCAGCAACCCAAAAAGCCAATACAATCCTTGGTTCTATAAAAAGAGGCATAGGATCAAAATCATGTGGTAAGAGAAAGTGGGAGAAAGTGGTAAGAAGGTGACAAGCAATAGGGAGAAAGCAGAACTATTTAACTCGTTTTTT